AAACTGACATTATCCATCAGACTTCTTGTGCTTATATCTCTCCACAGAATGGTATTGCTGAACGCAATAACCGTCATTTGCTATAAGTCACTCGTGTACTGTTATTTCAGATGAATATTCTTCGATATTTTTGGAGTGATGCTATTCTCACTGCTTGTTATCTCATTAATCGTATGTCATCATCTGTGTTAAATGGACAAAGTCCATATTTTGTCATTTTTCCTGGTAAGCCCTTATTCTCCTTAACTCCTAAGGTTTTTGGGTGTGTCTGTTATGTTCACAACTTGTACCCTGGGTTTGATAAACTTGACCTTCGGGCTACCAAATGTGTATTTTTTGGATACTCTCGCACACAAAAAGGATATCATTGCTATAATCCTTCCTTATGACAATACTTTACTAGTGCCGATGTCACATTTGAGAAATCTGTTCTATATTTTTTGGCACATGCTCAACATTTGGATCTGGACTTAGAGGAAGAGGCATCAGCTTTAATTATTTCAAGTAGTGAAGAAAATGAGCATTTAAGACAGGCAAAATACCTACTGAACAAAGACTGGGATGATCCTTGAAATAACATTAATGTCCAGAAAAGCAATGAAGCACAAAGTTTTAGACTGAGTGAACAACAACTAACAAATATACCGACTGCCCTCATACAATGCAGTACTAACTATGCCATGGCTCAACAAGCCGAACCAAGGGTATATCAGGCACGTTATAATAGCACAGCATGCAACGTGTTATTGCTAAATGCAATGGCCTTTAGGTCTGAAAGTCAAAGACTGCTAATCAAAGGAGACATGAGTGAAGGATACATACTGCTTGTATAAACTTAAAGTTTGATGGAGGTAGGCCTACAGTTTCTGCAGCTGCTTGAGCATACTTCTCCATCTTCCTGTTGGGATCTATGCCAAAAACATTGACACTACTATCGCTAGCATAATATTTCAGATTAGGACCAGTCCCAATTCCAATCTCCACAATTTTGTCAGCCTTTCCTCTCAAGTTAACAAATAGCTCTGATTTATAACCTGCAATCTTCCAAAATAACAGGTACAGTTAAGAGATGGATATGGTTAGTAATAATTACACCGGTGATACAAATCTTCAATCAATTAATCATAAAAAGGCCACTAACCTCTTTCTCATAAGATTTCGTTGCTTTATTTAGAACTAATGCATAAAACTCCTCGTACCAATCTGGTCTTGGAGGACGAATCCTGTTCAACACGGTCTAAAAGAAAATTTCTCAGTACTAATATCATATCACTGCTAGGATGAACACTTTCTGGACCCTTNAGGTTTTAAGAAATATTTAGTTAATCCCAAATCTAAAGAAGATACTTTTGGATATGATCAGTGGGAATAAGAGGACATTCAGATTATCTCTTTACTGTTGAATAGCATTGAGCCAAGTATTAATTTTACTCTACTTTACCTTGACACTGTCAAAGAAATATGGGATCACTTGACCACTATGTATTCTGGCACGGGTAATTTTACTCGTGCTTATGAGGTGTGCAAGCAGTACTTCCAGCTGGATCAGGGTACTCTAAGCCTTGAGGATTATTACTCCCACGTTCAAGGAGTCTGCGAGGAGTTGAAGCTCTACCATCCGTTCACTACTGATGTAGCAGTTTGGAAGAAGCAACATGAGAATTTGGATGTTGTTAGATTTTTGGTAGGATTGAAACCTGAATATGAGACTATTCGTTCTCACATTTTGGGTGGTTCTAGTCTTCCCTCTCTACTTGAGGTTTTCTCTCGTTTACAGTATGCTACTCTGTCTACTCCTTCAGGCATCGATCATGGTGTCTCCACTGATCGCTCAGCTCTTGTGGTTCCTAGTAGCCACAATGATGGTCACCGCGGTAAACGTGATAATCGTGGTGGTCGTGGAGGTTGTACTAGTGGTCGTGGGGGCCATAGCGGACCTCGTTCCTGTACTCACTATGGTCGTGGAAGGCACACTGTTGATTTTTGTTGGGATTTATATGAAAAACCTTCTGGTGCTACTAATCAAGTTTCCTATCAGGAAAACACCTCGGTTGTTGCTTCTATACCTCGGTCAGCTTCACCAGACTCTGGGTTGGTTACTATTACACATGAAGAGTATACTCAATTCATGTCCCAGCAACAGGCTGTTCCATTCTCCACTATTACTTTTGCCCAGTCAGGTACCGCTTCCACTTATTTATTGTCCTCCACTCGCAGTCCCTAGATCATAGACTCTGGCGCTTCTGACCACATTACTGGTGCGTCTAGTGTTTTTTCTACTTATCAGTCTACTACTTCCACACATAGTGTTACTCTTGCTAATGGTACTTGTTCTAAAATTTCAGGTTTAGGGACTACTCACTTGAGTCCTGATATGTCCCTATCCTCCGTGTTATTTGTTCCTCAGTTTCCTTTTAGTTTACTTTTCATTAGCAAAATTACCCGTTCTCTGAATTGTTCTGTAACCTTTTATCCCTCTTATTGTGTATTTCAAGATCTCAAGACAAAGAGGAAGATTGGTACGGGGCATGAAGCTGGTGGCCTATATTACTTAGACTTTGATTCACCTACTCGAGCTCTACAGACCTCATTATCTCCTTTTCAATAGAATTATCATTTTGGACATCCCTCTCTCCAGAATCTGAAGCGCCAAGTTCCCAGTCTTAGTTATGTGTCGTCTGTGTCTTGTGAAGCTTGTTAACTAAGTAAGCATCACCGTGTGTCCTTTTAGTCTAGAGTTAATAATTGTGTGTCTAGTCTATTTGAGTTGGTACATTCTGATGTATGAGATCCAATAAAAAATATTTTATCTAATAAATATTCTTATTTTATGTCATTTGTGGATGATTATTCTCGTGTGATATAAATATTTCTGATGAAAACTCGTTCTGAATTATTATCTATATTTGAGACCTTTCGCAAGAAAATGAAAACTCAGTATGGTTGTCGTATACGCGTTCTGATAATGTTCGAAAAAATGAATCTGATTCTTTTTCAGCTTATCTTAGCAAAACTGACATTATCCATCAGACTTCTTGTGCTTATATCTCTCCACAGAATGGTATTGCTGAACGCAATAACCGTCATTTGCTATAAGTCACTCGTGTACTGTTATTTCAGATGAATATTCTTCGATATTTTTGGAGTGATGCTATTCTCACTGCTTGTTATCTCATTAATCGTATGTCATCATCTGTGTTAAATGGACAAAGTCCATATTTTGTCATTTTTCCTGGTAAGCCCTTATTCTCCTTAACTCCTAAGGTTTTTGGGTGTGTCTGTTATGTTCACAACTTGTACCCTGGGTTTGATAAACTTGACCTTCGGGCTACCAAATGTGTATTTTTTGGATACTCTCGCACACAAAAAGGATATCATTGCTATAATCCTTCCTTATGACAATACTTTACTAGTGCCGATGTCACATTTGAGAAATCTGTTCTATATTTTTTGGCACATGCTCAACATTTGGATCTGGACTTAGAGGAAGAGGCATCAGCTTTAATTATTTCAAGTAGTGAAGAAAATGAGCATTTAAGACAGGCAAAATACCTACTGAACAAAGACTGGGATGATCCTTGAAATAACATTAATGTCCAGAAAAGCAATGAAGCACAAAGTTTTAGACTGAGTGAACAACAACTAACAAATATACCGACTGCCCTCATACAATGCAGTACTAACTATGCCATGGCTCAACAAGCCGAACCAAGGGTATATCAGGCACGTTATAATAGCACAGCATGCAACGTGTTATTGCTAAATGCAATGGCCTTTAGGTCTGAAAGTCAAAGACTGCTAATCAAAGGAGACATGAGTGAAGGATACATACTGCTTGTATAAACTTAAAGTTTGATGGAGGTAGGCCTACAGTTTCTGCAGCTGCTTGAGCATACTTCTCCATCTTCCTGTTGGGATCTATGCCAAAAACATTGACACTACTATCGCTAGCATAATATTTCAGATTAGGACCAGTCCCAATTCCAATCTCCGCAATTTTGTCAGCCTTTCCTCTCAAGTTAACAAATAGCTCTGATTTATAACCTGCAATCTTCCAAAATAACAGGTACAGTTAAGAGATGGATATGGTTAGTAATAATTACACCGGTGATACAAATCTTCAATCAATTAATCATAAAAAGGCCACTAACCTCTTTCTCATAAGATTTCGTTGCTTTATTTAGAACTAATGCATAAAACTCCTCGTACCAATCTGGTCTTGGAGGACGAATCCTGTTCAACACGGTCTAAAAGAAAATTTCTCAGTACTAATATCATATCACTGCTAGGATGAACACTTTCTGGACCCTTAGTTATTGCAAGAATTATGAACATCTTCTGGCAATATGACGAAAATGGAATCATATAGCAGGCTCATATAGTGCATCACCGAAACGAATGGCGGAGCAGACTCATATTGCTGATCACAAATGATCGGAACATAAGACTTGGTTGGATGGTTGGATGGTATGAACATCTTCTTCAGGGCAGCTCAACAGTATTAAAAAAGAAACTTGGGCTTTAGGCCTAAATTTTTAGAAGGCCCCATAATTTTAGGTACGTTATTAACCCATAAAAAATTTAAATCTATTAAATTTTAAACCCCAAACAAAAGGCCCCAAAAAATTAAGTAAAATCAAAATTTTTATTGTAATACTTTGGATTCATGATCCAATTCATAACATTAAAAACCTAAAAATTACTCAAAAGTCAACTCATATTTACCGCTACCCCCTCTCTCTCTCTAAAAATACATAAAAAAACATTAAAAAAAAAGTTGAAATTAAACTCTCTCTCCAGTAAAAACAAAAACAAAAGTTAAAACATTTTTCTTGACACCACTAGCACGTCTTTCTTTTGCCTCTCTCGCATAATAAATTTAAAATTTTTTTTTTAAATTAAATATTAAAAATAAAAAATGCCTCATTTAGTGTTTTCGCCTTATGCCTAAAATTTCCTTGAACTACCCATATCTTCTTGCAACTCCTAAAAATATTTTATAGCAAAAATAAAAATAAAAATGAGGCATTATATTTTTATTTCTAAAATCTTCACCCAACAATTTGGAACCAAATTTCCAATGACCAATTGAGACACAATCTTTGACAACATTAAATTGAGGTCCTAGAATAGAAATTGTAGCAAAATTTGCACTACGATCCTTCCAATCCTAATTCCCTAGTTCCAATTCCATGTTGCCAAACAAAGCATCAGTTCTATGCCAAAGTAAAAGCTTCATCAGAATGTGCAAACAATACTAAATTCAAGAGTGCAAGCTTGAATTGAAACAACACAAATAGCATCAAAATTCATTTCAATTTCCTTCCCGCAGATACATCTAACAACAAGAGAGAGAAACTATCTTACAATGGGATCATTGGATGGCAAATCTGAGGCGTTTGAAGGACAAATTGGGAGTAATGGCTCAGTGGTGATTTTCTTCGATTCAGTTGAATCATTGTGTGTTGGAGAGGAAAGAGAACGTATGTTTCCATTGTGGAAACTAGTGCTTTGTGTACGAAAACTTTTACGGGAAGTTTTGCGAATGTTGTGGTTCAGAGAGAGCCAATCAGTTTCAGGCATAACATCCTTGACAGCAGCATCAGAGCAAAAACACTCAGCCCATTTGCACAAATTAGGTGCCTTGGCTTCATCAAGCAGTTTCACATTGCCCAACTTCTCTGTCACCCTGAGCCATGCCAAGAAGCACCCAAGCGCAATGTCGAGATACCCAATACGTTCTCCCCCAAAGAAATTGCCGCCTTTACTGCATTTGGTGAATGCATCTTCCAAGAGCTCCAATCCTGCTGCCACTTGCTCTAGTGCCTCTTTCTTCGCTTCATCTCCCTCAGCAATAAATGCTATTCCTCTCACAGATGGGAACCACTGCACAAGTCATTTGGATCACATCCTTAAACCACATAAAACATACAATTAAGGATTGAAATATTTTCATTTCTTTTCGGTTGTTTCAGCCAAAACATTTCAAGGAAAACCAAAAATGTAGTAGTGGTGGAAAAACCATGTTTTGGAATCAAAATTTATTTGTTTTCCGGTTTCCTTCTGTTTTTAAAGTATTTAGTTTGTCATAAGGTTCCTACTGTATGCCCATCAATGGATTTGAGTATTTGCCGACATTTGTCATTATAGGAAATGGGTATATATTGAGAGTGAACGGATTGATTTCGCTCGCACATTGAGAGTTTTGGATGAAGCTTTTTCTTAAGGAATCTGCTGAAGGAGAAAGGTCTTTACTTAACTGTATAAAGAGACTTGAATCTTTAGAGACCTATATAAATCTTCCCCAAACTCGTCTAGGGGGCTACTTGGCCCTGAAACGTTTTCTCGAGCTATTTTGATCCTTGCTTACAAGGCAGTTCTAAATTCCGAAACTCATATTGGTGGCCTAAAACTCAGCACAATCAACTCTATCAAACTAACACCATCAAAGTAGTCAAAACCCACAAAATTTTAGTTACAAGAAACAATTTCTGTCTATTGTTCTTTTGAAGATAAGAACACTACCGATACTGTTAGGAGGACTACTTCCAATTTTATCAAACATCTTTCTATCTTGACCAAAATATCTCTAAATTTGCACCCAAAATCTTCTGACTTCAAATTACATCCCAATTTAAATGAAAACCCATACATATCCAAACCTTGTAGTGAACTATATACGAATACATGTGTGTGTGTGTGTGTGAGAGAGAGAGAGAGAGAGAGAGAGAGAGAGAACTAGGACAATGAAAGAAAGAGATACATAAGATTGCACAAATCCAAGTTTGCGTTGTGACCACAAATCAAAAATTTTCGATTCTTGATTAGTACAAACAAACAGACGCACCTGATCATCGATGTAAGCCGCCCAGAAGCGAGCAATAGCACGATCATAGGGATCTGAAGGAAGAATCGAAGGACCAGAGGTCCAAACATCGTCGATGTACTGGACAATGATAAGCGATTCACATATTAGCTTATCGGCATGAATCACAACTGGGATTTTCTTGTAAACAGGATTGGATTTGAGAAGACGCTCACTCTTTTCGCCCAGCTTTTCTTGGAGAAACTGGTAGTCCACGGACTTGATGTTGAGTGCTATTCGAGCTCGCATCACGAATGGACTCGGCCATCCACCCAGAAGCTTGACGTCAGTTGTCGACATGATCGAACCTTCAAATGCAGCAACAGTGCTTGAAAAAGTGTCAAAACTAAACTATGAGCCAGAGATAGTTCTTGTTCATGTCTCTCCATATGAGGATGAGCATATAAATAGACGATGCAGAGTTTGGAGTTCAGAGCCGAGGCACGACGGTTCACACTTTGGAGGGTGAAGTTGAGACTCGCGAATTCAGTGGTAAAGAACCGTAGATTCAACGGCATTGAATTTTGGTAATTTCGGGTCAAAAAAAATTTATTTTCAACTTCGATGGTCTGCTAAGAGCCTCTTTAACGAGGTTTGTATTTTAGATATGTAAAAGTGTATTTTTTTTATTTTAATTATTCATTTTTTTCATATATACTTCAATAAATTTTTTATTTTTTAACTATTTTTTTAAATATTATTTCTCATATGTTATACCTTTGCTAGAACTATTAAAGGGAGATGATCTGTTGGAGATGCATGATACCAAAATTCCTTTTTTTTTTTTTTGGTATCGTAACCAACTCCCAGAAATATAGGAAAAATGTGTAATGTTGTGTACAAAGGATAGAGATATGTCCGCATGAATTATTTAATGTCGATGTGAATGATTTTTGTTTTTAACTAAATTGAGAAGATAATTAGTTAAAGTATACATAAATTGACGCGAATATATTTAATTATAATTATAAAAAAATAAAAAAAATTAATTTCACGTGTATTTNTTGGTATCGTAACCAACTCCCAGAAATATAGGAAAAATGTGTAATGTTGTGTACAAAGGATAGAGATATGTCCTCATGAATTATTTAACGTCGATGTGAATGTTTTTTGTTTTTAACTAAATTGAGAAGATAATTAGTTAAAGTGTACATAAATTGACGCGAATATATTTAATTATAATTATAAAAAAATAAAAAAAATTAATTTCACGTGTATTTTCTTTTATGATGTACAATATGTTGTGTGTGAATGTGAAAAATTTTCCTGTTTTAAAAAAATGTTATATTTCCTATGTGATGTAAACCACCTCACACGATTAGGAGGTACACGTTTGGTGCACTTAGTATTGTTTATGTGGATAATTTTATGTGCACTAAATTTGTGCGTCAAAGTTTATATCAAATCAATTACAGTTGTTGGATTGGTGATGAGATCCGTTGATTCAACGACGACAACGATTTGGTACAAGTTTTAGTGCATATAACATTGCATGTGCTAAAAATTTTCTATGCAATTTTGTCATGAAGTTACTACAAAATGGTATTGAGTTACTACAAAATGGTATTGAGGTTACGTGAAATCCGGAAAAAATTTTAACTTTTTCTGAAAAAAATGGTAAAATGGTAATTTGTCATTATAGTGCGGGTTAAAAACTGATATTTTTATAGACCTCGGATGATGAAACGGACCTCACCGTTGGATTCGTCTCACGAAATCTAGTTATCCAGACAAATTTCGTCGAATTCTGAGATAGTCAGATTTTTTACATTTTTCAAGGTGACGAGTGTTCGATGACCCCTAAAAACGAAATTTTTATAAAATTTTTAAAATTTGAAAAATATTTTAAATAAAGTTCATATAAAATATTTTGATCTTAAATCGGTACGAAATTTAATCGTTTCGGGGTGAAAACAGAACCGGACAAATGACGACACTTGGCGCGACGAGGGCCAAGTGTTTAGAAAGTATAAAAGTGGGCAAATATCTGAAAAATCAGATGTTTTCTCTTCATTTGGCCGGCTGGATCAGACCCAANAAATTAATTTCACGTGTATTTTCTTTTATGATGTACAATATGTTGTGTGTGAATGTGAAAAATTTTCTTGTTTTAAAAAAAAATGTTATATTTCCTATGTGATGTAAACCACCTCACACGATTAGGAGGTACACGTTTGGTGCACTNGAAATTAGTCGGGCCAAGAATTAAATTCGATCTTTGCGACGAGAGCTACGCGTGGGTATCAAAAACAAATATTTTCACCGAAGATTCAAAGGAAGGATTTTGGAGAAATCTAAGCTTTGAGCTTCAATCTTGTTCTTGAGGCTTCCTACNCCTGTTTTAAAAAAATGTTATATTTCCTATGTGATGTAAACCACCTCACACGATTAGGAGGTACACGTTTGGTGCACTTAGTATTGTTTATGTGGATAATTTTATGTGCACTAAATTTGTGCGTCAAAGTTTATATCAAATCAATTACAGTTGTTGGATTGGTGATGAGATCCGTTGATTCAACGACGACAACGATTTGATACAAGTTTTAGTGCACATAACATTGCATGTGCTAAAAATTTTCTATGCAATTTTGTCATGAAGTTACTACAAAATGGTATTGAGTTACTACAAAATGGTATTGACNTAATTTTGGTATATGGAAATATTTATGTAATCCCTTAAAAATTGGGATCATGTGGGCATGCTTTGTGTTTTATATTATGTCTTGTGAATGAANACGTTACGTGAAACCCGGAAAAAATTTTAATTTTTTTTGAAAAAAATGGTAAAATGGTAATTTGTCATTATAGTGCGGGTTAAAAANAGGTTACGTGAAATCCGGAAAAAATTTTAACTTTTTCTGAAAAAAATGGTAAAATGGTAATTTGTCATTATAGTGCGGGTTAAAAACTGATATTTTTATAGACCTCGGATGATGAAACGGACCTCACCGTTGGATTCGTCTCACGAAATCTAGTTATCCAGACAAATTTCATCGAATTCTGAGATAGTTAGATTTTTTACATTTTTCAAGGTGACGAGTGTTCGATGACCCCTAAAAACGAAATTTTTATAAAAATTTTAATATTTGAAAAATATTTTAAATAAAGTTCATATAAAATATTTTGATCTTAAATCGGTACGAAATTTAATCGTTTCGGGGTGAAAACGGAACCGGACAAAGGACGACACTTGGCGCGACAAGGGCCAAGTGTTTAAAAAGTATAAAAGTGGGCAAATATCTGAAAAATCAGATGTTNGAGAAACATCCAAGAATGAATAGGTTTATGACATATGGTTGATTTCAAAATGATCTTTGGATGTATTTCATCAAAGACGTTTGTTTTACACGTAAGTGTCGCATTGTGTTGTGGGAGTCGGTGNTGCCTTGTGAATGAAATGTAATATTAGCATGTATTATGTGTTATCATGTTGATGGAGTGTTGATATATGCTCTTGGATATATTGAACTTGAAATGGTTATGTGATTATATGCAAATGATATTAATTGTCATGGTATACAATGATATTTAAAAATTATCATTTGACATGCATTGCAATATGAATATGGAATTAACATCACATTCATGGGCTACATGCATGAGTGTGGGTGTAGGGTTGNATTCGATCTATGCGACGATAGTTACGCGTGGGTACCAAAAACAAAGATTTTCACCGAAGATTCAAAGGAAGGATTTTGNTACATGGGTGAGTTTCATCTCATTACTTGACATGGCATCATGATTTTTCAACATTGTATTATATGTTATTGTTGGAGGGAATACTTGTTGTGAAATGTTGCATTTATACATTGCATATGCATTTTAGGTGATGAGTAGCCTCTGTAGGGATTATTCTACTGGGCATTGGCTCACCCTATACGGGAAACATTTCAGGTGTGGGTCATGCACCAATGGACGGCTCACAATCCGGGTCACATGGTTGAAGAAAAGTCGACTTGTGGCTTCCAATCCATTTTTTTTTTTAAAAAGTAGATTTGTAATTAAATTTTGGCATGTAATGTGTAAAGGAATTGTAATAGAGTATATATGGACTGTTTTAATATAACCTTGCATATTTTGATATAAATATGATGATTGGACCCGGTGTGGTCAAGTTTTATGTATAAAATGGACCCTGTGTGGTTATGGTATTATATTGTACCTCGGATGAGTCATGTAAATGTTGATTGCACAGATTGTGTTTTGGGGTAGAGCTTCCCGTACAAAGGAGACTCTGCCCG